TATTAATCTAATCAAACGGTTTATAGTATTGGACCTACTAATTTATCTATTAATCATATGCTAAAAGTTTCTGAAACTTCCTTAAAACACTCTCAGACTGTCATGTGACACTCTAATAATTTAGAGAAAATCATAAAAATTCTGGAAAAAACAAACATCCATTCATTTATTTTTACTTAAACTAGTGGGTCCAATAATATAAACCGTTTAATTATGTTGATATTAAAATGAACCAGACACTTACAGTCCTCCTCCCTAGATAGTGTCCCACCTCTCCTTTATCCCCTTCCGTAGTTGAGTACGTACTTATGTACAGTATGTATGTTACGTACAATCAGTTCCTCTCCTTCCTATTTGTTATTGCTTTTTCATGTATAGCTGATATAATATTTATTATTGTAATAAATTTAAAATAATTATGACTTTACGAGCATAGACTACATTATATATGATTGTTTACCAACAGACATAAATACATTAGCTATACAATTAATGTTTCACAATAAAATTTGTACCATTATGCTCCCATCTATCTATTATATATATAAAAGATCGTTAAACTTTCTATAAACGTTCATGATATTACATGGTGCTCTAAGAAAATAAAGAAAATATAAAACATTTCAAGAAAAAAGCAAAATATTGACTCAATTTTCACTGTACCCACTATTTTCAATTAGATCTATCCTTTTATTTTCTTATGTTAGAGAAAAAAAATCCACATCTTTCCCACCCTCCTCGCTTCGTTCTGTACGTACATACGTACATATACGTACATCAGTATGTATATTGACACCCCTGCGATATCCTAATTATGCACGGCTCTCCTCCCTTCAATTCTATCTCATATTTTTTATGCGATATTAGTTATCAAATAGCAGTCAAATAGTAATGAAATATCTATCTATATATTAGAGTAAATTACACTAGCGATCCTTAAACTTGTAACGAGCTTTTCACTTAGATCCATGAATTTACAAAACACGCATCGAGATCACTAAATTTGGTTTAATGTTACATCCCGGTCTAAAACCTCGTTTGACCGTAGTCTTGTCTACGTGATATACCACGTGGACGATGACATGGATTTATTATTTTTTTTCTCCCTTCTCCCTTCTTTTTTTTTCTCCCTTATCTTTTTTTTCTCCACTTTGCCTCCATCCTCTCCCTTCTGCTGCTTACTGGTGGGGCCCACCTATCAAGGCCTTCTTCCTCCCCCGACCGGCAACCGCCATGGCCACTCCGCGCACATTGCTCCCCATGACGCCATCGTCCTCGCGCCTTCCCGCCTCGCCCACACATGCGGGGGACATGGTCATCGCCCACCTTCCCCACTTCTCCGCGCAAACCGACGCCGAGCCGAGCCGCCCGAGATGATGTCGCCGCCTTCCCCTCCCGCTTCAAATATGCTCTCCCCGGGCACGATTCCAGCCTCCCAAGCATATAAGGTCCACCCCCATGTTCCCCCTCTACCATTTTTCCCAACTCCTCGAGCTCGTCATGCCCTCTATCGCATCCTCCGTGCCGCTTCCTCTCACCACCGTCTTCCAGCTGGGCGCCACCGCTGCTAGAGCCATCGCCGCGCTGCTCCACTTGCACTGCTGGCACCACCGCTCCGAGAGATATCCCGGTTGCCGCTCCGCTCCCCCAATCCACCACTGTAACCCCGCCTCCATCGCGAGGCCAAGCTCCGCAGCCCACCGCCGATCTCCAGCCGTGCGCCGCCGACACCCTAGGTACTGCCCACCACCAAACATGTCTTCGCCGCTCCGCCTTGCACCCCGGCCACCTTTTCACCCCTCCAATCAACTACCGAGACATCATCTTTACCGGCAACCCGAGCCACCGCCGCCATTGCAACCATCCCGGCCATCACTTGCTACCATTTTCCGGTCACTGCAAGCAGCACCGCTGCCTCCATCGTGCTCACCGTATTGAGGAACTCCTCGGCCGCCCCTTCTTCGTCTCCAACCGTCACCAGAAACCTCGTCCACCACGTGAGGTGAGGAAGGAGAGAAAAAATGGGGAGAAAAAAGGCAAAAGGAAAATGTTGCCATGCCATCGTTCACGTGGCATGCCACGTAGGCAAGACCACGGTCAAACGAGGCTTTGGACCAGAATGATACATTAAACCAAGTTTAGGGATCTCGATGCGTGTTTTGCAAGTTCGTGGGCTTAAATGAAACCACGTTACAAGTTTAAGAACTGCTAGTGTAATTTACTCTATATGTTATATATTTAAAGTCTTATGAAACTTCTACAAACTCTCTAAGCGAATTTCTACAAAAGCTTCTAGGCCACCACATAGCACTCTAACAAATTAGGGTAATTCTAAAAAAATTTGAGAAAAAAAAGTCTAACCATCGGTTTTCATTTAATCGGGTGAACCCATTATTTTCAACCATGAATCATTTTGTAAATACCCTTCTGATCCCCTTCGGGCCCTACAAGTGCATCATATACACGGTTTAAAAAAGGTATGCACATGTAAGGTGTAAGGTAGTTAATTGAGATAGGAACCTAAAATTTAATGTTTATGGGATGAATGAGAAATATTAGGCACCTGCCTTCGTGTGGCTTCCACCACACATGCAAAACGGATGCTGGATGCATGTAATCCAATCCCTCCCTGACTCCCTCCCGTGCCCTCTCTAATCCCCTTTTGAATTCTTTATAGGCAACTCAAGATAGAAATGATCATATATTAAATATTCAAAATGGCCGTAATCCTGAAATCATATACAGATTTTTAATATATCTATTGTTTTCTTTATAGTCGTATCAAAAACTCAATGATCAAAGATTAAATATTCAAATAATCATAAACCTCTACAGAGCTCATAGAATACCACATGTCACACCTCTGAATTTATGAAAATCATAAAAGTTACGAGAAAAGCAGTAAAACATCTAACCATCAAGTTATGGCTAAAATCGGTGGGCCAATATTTCTGATATATCTTACACAAGACAAAACCCTCCTCTTGGACCCATACATGTACGCGCGCCTCCTAGTTATTTTAACATCCAATAAAAAAGCATCTAGCGAGTAAAATGGACTATCTTAGTTGACAAATGTTCGGTAAAATGGTATTATAGTTAAGTTCAATCGATCATCAGCTACCAATCATCTAAGAACATATTGAATATGTTCTTTTTTTTTTGGTTTAGATGCACATTTTATCTCGGTTTATGTTAGCACGTTTTCTAAACTGTTAAACACACAATATGTTTCTATAAAAACCTTTTATATAGAAGTTGCTCATAAACTATTTTTCAAGTTTATAATAATCACAACTCAATTAACCATACACTAATTACTTTCGCATCCTACGTGCATTTACTTAATCCTTATTTTTTTTATCACTTCCGAACGGAACAGAGTGTGACACGGCATATATGTACTTTCCCTTCGTCCTTTTGATGCCCTAATTAATCGAATGCGACCAGTCGATGGATGGATCGATCGGCCATCACGTCGACAAATCCCTTGTCACACGGGCACACGCAATCAAGGAAAGAAAGAAAGAAAGAAAGCAGCCATGTTTGTTAATGTTCTTGTTAACCAGTAGCTGGGTTTGGCCAACGATCCCCAACAAACATAGCTTGATAGCTCCAGTCCGTGGCCAACCCCCCAACAGATTACACTTTCTCTGGATCACTCGTCATCGCAGATTAGTAGGAGATTCTTCGGTTTGTCCATATTGACTAATAAACCAAAATATCTTATTAAGGAATAAAAAATATATAGTTGAACTTTTATATATTTGTTCGTACTGACTTAAAAGTTAACGCTAAAAAAAATTATGTTAAAATATCTTGAAATTAACTTTAAAATTAAATTTAAAAATTTAAATTTTAGCTTTTGCTTTAACTTATTAGGCCAACCGATACCACAGTGGACTCCACCTTGATACGCAGCCAGCTTACAGGTGGGGCCCACTTTCTGGGCGGGCAATTGGTCCACAGTGAACCGGTCTATTCATCACTGGAGTATAGTAGTCCCGTGGACCGCCCAAAAGTTCAGGCTTTTGTGGGTTGACTTCAATTTATAGGTGAGTATTGCGAGTTTGTGACAGATTTTCCGTGGAACAGGAAGCAAACACGCATGAATTTTGTGAGATTTTCAGATGAGAACAGGTAGCTCTCCGTGAAAGTTCAGGTTAGGATTCTCCTGCTCCTGAAAATTCAGAAGCTGCACAATTTGTGTTCAGTTTACCAATGATCAATGTATCTAGACTTCTGGACTCTGGAGTATCACATAGGTAAGCGATTCGATCAACTTCCAAAAAAATAAGAATTTTCTTCTGTTAAAGAAAAGAACATCAGGTGTATCCTGATGATAAAGAAAAGAACATCAGGTGTATCTTGGTTAATCGATGATCTTTGTTTAACTCGGTGATTAATTTGCCGGCCGGTTGACTTATGTAACATTGTAATTTGTAACGTACATATGAAGCTCTTAATTTGACATTACAAGTGTGGTCGTTGAAGTAGATTTGCTTAGGTCGAACTATATATTTGTACTTGTAGATCTCCAGTGGATTATTGGATTTCCTATAGAGACAAGAAATTGCAATGTGCATGCGTGTGCCTGGCAAATTAATCAACCATGCAAATATCATCCAATCAAATCACTCAGGTTGTGTGCAAAAGCATATCCAAAGCCAACTTGAAAAAAAAATTACTCGTTCATCGGTGTCACCTTCCATATTCTTTCAATTAATCACAACCTGAACATATCCAGTAGAATCTGAAAATCTCATTTGAATTTCTCATTAAGCTGTGGTTTTTCTTCCCCAAGATCAATCTAGCTGTACTCAAATGCTTTATAAAATATGAATTAATTAATTATCAAATTGGGTATTGTTGACTTCTCATTCCCCAGATTCTGTGGTGTGCTGAAAAACAGGAAAGAGCAGCATTGGTAGTTATGCAACCCTCTCCAACCCCAACTGTTCTTTGGATCACTTTGTCCTTCCTTGACATCTTTTTTTCCTATTGACACTGATCACTGACCTACAACCCCTATATAAACACTTCCCCCTCAACCCCATATCCTCAAACACACAAAACCCCAACTTTCTCTCTCTACAATCCATCAACCAATTTCTCTCCTCCTCTTCCTCTCTCATCACTCCAAAGATCATCAACCATGGTGAGCTACACAAAATGAGCTTCATTATTTATATATCTTGGATAATGGTTTTCTTGCTACTCATGTTTAATTTGCAAGATTGCAAAAAAAAAAAAAGAGAGAAAATGTGACACGTTGTGGTGTGTGTAGGTTGTTGAGGTTAGGGAGAACGGCGCCGTCGTGGAGGTGGCCGACGGCGGCAAGGCGGCGGCGGCGGCGAAGCTGACGGTGAAGCGCGGCGAGCCGGAGCTGGTGGCGCCGGCGGAGGCGACGCCGACGGGGGAGAAGTACTACCTGTCCAACCTGGACCAGAACATCGCCGTGATCGTGCAGACGGTGTACTGCTACAAGCCACCGGCGGCGAGCGGCGGCGACAATGGCGACGCGGTGGCCGTGCTCCGCGACGCGCTGGCGAAGGTGCTCGTCCACTACCACCCGCTGGCGGGGCGGCTGACGATCAGCGCGGAGATGAAGCTCGCCGTGGAGCTCACCGGCGAGGGCGCCGTGTTCGTCGCCGCCGACGCCGGGTACGACCTCGCCGACGTCGGCGACCTCACCAAGCCCGACCCCGCCGCGCTCGGCCACCTCGTCTACTCCATCCCCGGCGCCAAGAACATCCTCGAGATGCCCCCCATGACGGCGCAGGTAAACACCTCGTGCCGCCATTACTCCTCTCCTTTCCTAGCTTTAACCTTTCTGGCGCCATTGCCCTGAGCTTGGCGTTAATGGCGCCATGGCGGCCTCGCTCTCTCTTCCCCTTTTGGTGAAAGGAGATTAAAAAAAAAAACGATAAAAGCCATGCAGCTGCGTGGTCTCAGTGATGACGTGGCAGGTCACGAGTCGATGTCTTAATTGGGTTTCTGGTTAGGGGATGGGCGTTGCAAAAAAAAAAATTGAATTTAATGTTGCTAGGAGTACCATAGATGGAAATTCCAGAAAAAACATTTTGAAAATTAGTTGTACTTCGTTTTTTATTCCGGGTTTTAGATTGGAGAGTTTTTAAATGTGTTTGTTCTTTCTTCCAAAGTTAGGTTACCCACCTCGACCTATAAATCAACTAACCATATCAATCATTTTTTGTTTTTGTAATGGCTAGGTACCAGCTCATGACATTTATAATTATATTGTCACAATCCAACCTTATCACCCAAGTTCCAATATGTATGGGGGGCACATCTTCAACGAAATACGCACTAGATTAAATATTAAATATTAATTAATTGTACCCCCTTGCTGATGTGCCAAATCATGCACTAAATCGTTCTTGGCTTAAACAATCCATCTACTAAACATTGTTCCAATTTTAACTAACTCAAATCAAACTCGTAGTTCAATATATGACTCATTAAGCAATAAACTAGTAATGCGAATTTGAAAAGTTTAGTATCTTTGTTTGCCATTAATTCATCAGTTTAATAATTTTTTTTTCTTTTGCAGGTGACACGGTTCAAGTGCGGCGGCTTCGCGCTGGGGCTCGCCATGAACCACTGCATGTTCGACGGGCTGGGCGCCATGGAGTTCGTCAACTCGTGGGCGGAGACGGCGCGCGGCGCCGCCGAGCTCACCGTGCCGCCGTTCCTGGACCGCACGTTGCTCCGCGCGCGCGACCCCCCGGTGATCTCCTTTGAGCACCACGAGTTCGAGGAGATCCCCGACGTCTCCGACACGGCGGCGCTCTACGCCGACCAGGACCTCCTCTACCGCTCCTTCTGCTTCGACCCGGACCGCCTCGAGCGCGTCCGCGCGCTCGCCCTCGCCGGCGCCGGCGCCGAGAACGGCGACGACCTCGTCGGCGGGCGGTGCACCACCTTCGAGGCGCTGTCGGGGCTCGTCTGGCGCGCGCGCACCCGCGCCCTGGGCCTCGCGCCGGAGCAGCGGACGAAGCTGCTGTTCGCCGTGGACGGGCGGCGCCGCTTCGAGCCGCCGCTCCCCCGCGGCTACTTCGGCAACGGCATCGTGCTGACGAACGCGGTGGCGACCGCCGGCGAGCTGCTGTCGTCGCCGCCGTCGCGCGCGGCGGGGCTGGTGCAGGCGGCGGTGCGGATGGTGACCGACGGGTACATGCGGTCGGCGGTGGACTACTTCGAGGCGACGCGGGCGCGGCCGTCGCTGGCGTCGACGCTGCTGATCACGACGTGGTCCAGGCTCGCCTTCCACGGCGCCGACTTCGGCTGGGGCGCGCCGGCGATGTCCGGCCCCGTCACGCTGCCGGAGAAGGAGGTCATCCTCTTCCTCGCGCACGGCGAGGAGAGGAAGAGCATCAACGTCCTCCTCGGCCTCCCGGCGTCCGCCATGGACGCCTTCCAAGAGCTCATGGACGAGATATGATGAAAAAAAAGGATGGATTGCATTGGTCACATGGTTTATGATGCATATGGATGGTGTTCTTCTTTTCTTTTATGGTTAAATTTAAAATTTGCATGGGTTTATACACTTTGTAGTGTGGTGTTTTGTTTTTAATGATTAATTGTGGTGAGCATGTGTTAAATGTTAATCAGCTGCTCTATGTTGGTGTTTGATAAGAGGCACTGTGGCAAAATGGTTGTAACTTGTAAGATGGTTTAATGATAATGAGAAGCAATTGGTATTTGTTTAGTTAATTGATGAGGTTTTTTTTTGTACTACCTTGAACACATAAATTCGGAATATTTTGTTCAACTACAATATTGCCTTAAAGTTAAACATTTAAATAATAAAGTCTCTCAAGACAAAAGGAAAGAGAACTAGATAAGCAGGGGAGAAACAGGGCAAACAGAGTCACGAGGGAATGGCAAGCAGAGGACGCACCAGAGGGTGTACAAGCTCACTCAGAAATCATTTTCAAACATTGACAGGGTGTTCTTCGATACTAGAAATTAACAAAGTTTGGCAAAAAAAAAATATTCACATGAAAATTGATACCAGCAACTTTGGTGATTATGAAAGAAACTTGTCAAAAAGCCAAACAAACTACACCAACCCTACTATAGGTTAGCCAAGCATAATCTACCTAGAATGCGCTCACCCATAAACAAGGCGTAATAAGTTAATGTACAATAAATTGTTCTTTTTGTTGGGGAAACTATTTTAACAGCTCGAGTGGATGTCCACCTATTTATTGCATGTCATCTAAATAATTATAAAAAAAATTAAAAAAATATGAATAAGATAGATCAATATGTAATGTATCAATTCACAAACATGCATGTTAAAATTCAACTTCTACAGATTGTAACAAAAATAACAAACAAAACTCAAATTACTACATGTATATTTACAGTTAAATTTGTTATTTTTGTTACAACTTGTAGAAGTTGAATTTTAACTTGCATATTTGTGGAGTGATATATTACATATTGATCTATCTTATCAATTTTTTTAAAAAATTTTCATAGTCATTTAGTTGACATGCAATAAACGAATGGACGTCCCCTCAAGCTATTAGAATCCATCCCCTTTTTGTTGACACTATTTGCAAATGTACTTTTACATGTGAGATATAGGAGTACAAATGATATATTGTTCAACATGTTGAAAATGTTACCATATTCATCTACAAATTTTGTTAAACTTTAAAAAATTTAACTAGAAAAAAAAATTAAAACAACTTATAATATAAAATGGAGGTAGTATAAATTGTACTAAAAGACTTCCAAATTATATATTAAATAATATATTAACCACACATGCAACAATCGAAACCTAATGCACATACGGTGGAGGAGCCCGTCTTGTAGCTCCTCTTCTTCATCGTCTCCGGCCACTGGCTGGCCATCAATTTCGGTTCCATGTACCACCATGGCTATCAGTAGCTCAGCACCGCCACGCGGAGGCGGCGATGATGGCGCGGTCCTGCCACCCGAGGAGGAGGCAGCCGCTGTCCTCGGTTAGGCGGTAGCCGTCGCCGGCGCCGTAGAGGCCGAGCAGCACCTGGCTCTGGCCGACGGCGGCGGCGCTGAGCGGCACGGCCTCGAACCCTCGCCCTTCCATGAGCCGCCGCCACCGCTCCAGCCTCTCGTGCCGCGCCACCCGCTCCGCCCCCTCGCACGCCACCACGTTCCGTATCTCCGGCGCCAGCAGGCACTGCTCCACCTTCATCCTCGCCGTCGACTCCGCCGGGAACGTCGCGTCCAGCGAGTCGAATATCGCCGAGTAGTAGTGCAACGCCTCCAAAAACCTTCAAAAACATCATGCAAACATTCAAACCATTTTCCATGAATTTCACATGGTTTTAAAATCTCTGGCTATAGTTTTCAGAGAATAATCTAGCTATTTTTGCTCTAATGTACAATTTTAGCATCATTTAGCCCGCTATTAGAAGTTTTTGAGGGTCTACCGTTAAATGCCTTAGTCCGCTATTTGAAACATTAGAATTTCGTTCAAATTTGTCAAATACCATACCAATGTTCAAAAGTTTTCGATGAATTTCGTTTCGAATTTGATGATGTTTTGGTGGTTTACCTGCCCAAGAAGTAGGGGCCATTGTGGGCGGCCTCCTGCTCGACGAGGGTGATGATCTTGGGAGCCTGGTCGCGGATCATGGAGAGGAGAGGCGGGAGGTGGGAGGAGGGGACTCGGTGGAGGCGGTTGACGGCGTTGACGGCGAGGGCCTCGCCGACGCGGCGGTGCAGGGCGGCGGGGCGGAGGCGCTCGAGGCGGTCGGCGGCGGCGGCGTGGAACTCGAACGGGACGCGGAGCGACGCGGCGAGGGAGGCGAGGTGGCGCCCGGTCTCCCTGACGGCGGCGGGCGGGTGTCCGACCCCGGTGAGCCGCAGCGTGGGCGGGCCGCCGGGGCGCGCGGCGAGCGCCTGGAGGAACGCCGGCCACTGGTAGCCCTGGAGGATGTCGAGGTCGACGACGTGGACGCGGTCCTCGCCGTGGAACGCCTCGAAGATGGCCTGGTTGGCGGTGAAGTGGGCGAACTTGATGTAGGGGCAGGCCTGGTAGAGGATCTGGTAGACCTTGAGCGTCTCCGGCGACGGCGGGAACGGGTAGGGCGCGGCGGCGGCGGCGGCGCGGGGGGAGGGGGAGGCGGAGGTGGGGGAGGAGAGGAGGGAGAGGCGGGCGGCGAGGGCGTCGGCGAAGTGGGAGGCGACGCGCTGCATGGAGTCGCCGAGAGGGGAGGCGACGCGGCGGAGGAGGTGGAGGTGGCGGAGCGCCGCCGGGTGGTCGCCCTTGGAGACGAGGTCGGCGCACGCCAGCAGGAGGTGCACCAGCTGAAGCCCACTGTCCTGCTCCTGCAAATTCAGTGCATGCACACTGTTAGTAATTACTAGCACTGGTAATTAAGGTCCTAATTGCAGTGATTATTCATGATTTAGTTAATGACCAGTAGTAATCCCTCTGAATTAATAATACTTGTTATTTTGAACAAGAACATGGTCTTGAATAACAACTTTGAACATTATTTTCTATTATAATATGTATAAAAAATATTAACAAATATATGATTTTATTAAAATACTTTTTAAGACTAATATATACATGTAATCATCATATTTGAAAAACAAATATTTTAAAAATAATTCATAATTAAAGATTTAAAGTTTGACTTTATCCTTATCTAAAAGAATAAGTATTATCAGTCCGGAGGGAATAGCAATTCGGTTAGAGAACATGATTAGTGTTTAGTTAAGGAACAAAACATTTCTCCCGACTGATTGGAACATCTGATTAGCTTATGAGAAAGCACACGTGCAAGGTGTTGATTAGGAATTTAATATTTGACATCTATTTGCACTACCAAAGTTCATGTTGTATTAATCTGTATACATAACTCCACAACACAGCTTGAACAATCATTTTCTGTAATCCAAATTAGCAATTAGGCAACCTTGTCACAATTTCCAGCAATCTATACTCAACTCGCACAAGGAGAAATTAAGACAAATCCATTGCTTGTAAAGTACCGGTACTATTCGTATCGAAATTTGAATTGTCGATTTTGTTTCTCAATGCGTGGATCAATTATGATTTATGAACTTGTTTTTTGGTAGGTGATAGGTGCCATATACTCAACATTATCAAATTATTTTATAACCATTTCATTTTATTTGAAATAAAAAAAAAGATATAGGATGGATGTCCCTTCGATGGATTAGATTTTTTTTGCCACAATGCACAATTTAGAAAAATCACAGCTTGTACTTAATATTTAGTTCAAATGAAAATGAAAATATCTAGAGTAGAAATTTTCGGGTACACAGGTTGGTCAATCATTTTCAGTAATTCCAATTCCAATTTTTGCAATGGTGCAATATTGTCCTTTTTATTATTTTTACGACACAGTCCTTATATGTCCTTGCAGATGAGCATGTTTAATATATTCACAAATTTACTCTGACTTAGTCAATCGTGCCAAAACAAGCTATTTAATTTGAAGAACTAAAAGCAGTTCTCCCAACGTAAAGTAATTTTATAATACACAGTTACACACCAGAAAACGCTACTTTTCACAAAAACATAATTAAGTAAATTTCATAAAACACTACCTATTATGATTCAAGTTGCACAAAATTATAAGGATATAATGATCCAAAAGTTCACATACCACACCATTAACCATTTTGACATACTCATGTATCAAAGCAGATGCAAAAGAACAATTTATATGATGCAAAAAATTCTTATAAATTTCAGATGTCAAAAGTGTTGTAAATCAAAATCAAAATGATTAATAGCGTGGTTTATGAAAATTTAGGACTATAATACCTAAGGTTATGTACCACTTGTCAAAATACATGTGGTTTGTGTATTTGGATCATAATATGTGAGGTTTTAGGAAATCTATTCATAAAAATTGAAGAACGTGGATTACAACATGGTCTGAGTTGTAAAGTGTGCCCTTGTAACTTACGGATCACAACTTCAATCAATCGACCGCGTAGTTTATTTAGCTGTATTAGTTTTAAAAGAAAATTTATTATATACTATTGAGTTTGTTCCAATTTAGCGATTGATCATTGATATTTTTTTTCTCTATAATATACTGAGGATTTATAAATTATTGCACAATATGCCATTGGATTTGTCTTTTTACCACAAAAATCCCAAATACTTGTAAAGAGTTAACTTTTTAACCTATTAAATTTTTTTAAAAAAATATGAAATGCTTTTGTACCGTGTTCTTACACTTCAAGATTTTTTATTTTTCTAAAAGTTATTTTTTGTTATAAGAAGAGAAATTCCTTACGCAAAATCTATTAGCACAAAAGTTTTCTTAAGGTTATAAAAGATTATTTGCATTAAAATTGACACAAGAAATATTCTATATAGGATATAACTGATACAACATATTTTAAGAAAATTAGAAATGCAAAAATCTTAAAACTTCGTGAGAGGATGAATCAATAGTTAACCTTCCATGTTAACAGTATATTGGGTATTTTTTATATAAAAATGCTTAGTCCAATGACATATTGTAGAACAATTAATAAACTCATTGATATATTATCGAAAAGAACAATTTAAATAATAAGTTATTGAACTGGAACAAATTTAATATTAAGTTTATATATGAAGATTTTTTTGGTATACACAGTTCAAGTAATTTTATATATGAATTTTTTTATTTTAGTTATGCTTTTCAGTTGTTCTTTTTAAAAACAACTTCAGTGTCAACAAAGTATAACACCAGTCAACAGATCCAATTTTCACCAAACGAAACATTTTAGCAAAAAGTTCAACTCCACTACGTAAACAGAGCTCTGACTGCTAATTAGCAATAACTAGAGCCTAATATAAGTTATGAAACTTTAAATTTGGACTGCAGCATTGTTATGTACTTGTTGTCAGAATTAACACATATCCTTTGTCCTGTTTCTACACTAATAAAGTCACAATCACAATTAACAAGGCATCAGGGCTACTTTTGGCGAGTTGGTTATCCCTTGCGACAAAACAGCGCTCTTAATTAGTTGGTGATCAAGGATTATATATGTATACTAATCACACGCACGGACTTGTGCTGTTAGCAGCACGCGTGCATGCATGGAATACGACCATTTGGCCAATTGAGGTCGCCCCCCTATACGGCTATACCAGAATTTCAGAATCTTTCACTGAAGATTGGAGGAACAATCATTTATTGTAGTCACACTTTTCTATAAGAAAAGTTGGGAAAATTTGGATATTAGTAGCATGCTTTTCAAACTGCTTGCTAAATGGTGTGTTTCATGTAAAAATTTTCTATATAGAAGTTGTTCTAAAATATTAGATAAATATATTTTTAAATTTGTAATAATTAAAACTTATTTACTCATACATTAATACCACATCGTTTTGCATAAAACTCATAATCTTCATATTCATCTTTATCTACTTATTTTTCATACACCAACTAAATAATGTGTTTTTTTAATCTCCAAACTACAAATTTGACTGCTGATTTATGTTGCAATGTATTGTTTATTAAAACCTTATAGTGCAATTCTAATTCTAATTCTAATATTATTAAAACAGTTTTCAATGCAACTCTCCTGGTAAAAATCTATATATGTAGATATTCTTGGAGAAATTAGTAGCCAGCGTTAAAACCAGAGAAAAGATGACTGCATGCATGGTCAATTCACTTTGTTAATGTAAGATCAATTCACTTTTTGATGCATGGTTAATCTTTTCTGTGCAATTAAGTTTTTGAGATAATAAATCTCATGCTTAACTAGTACAGTAATTAATTAGTTACCTGCTCAGCCTCTGATTGGATCACTGAACCCAGCATGCTGTGAAGTGAAGAATCAGCTGCCATCTGATGCTGCAGCGGCGGCGTCATGCCTTCTCCTCCGAACTCGCCGCCGCCGCCGTAGTACATCTCGGGCTGCACGAACGCTCCCACTGGCAGCTCACCGGCGACAGCCATCGCCGCCGCGACTGCCTCATCGCCGCCGCCTCTGTACGCGGCCGGCTCCGGCATCGCCAGGCACTCCGACAGCGTCGGCAGCAGCTGCGACGACGCCGGCGCGGTGACGACGGAGACGGAGGCGCCTGATCTGTTGATGTCCCCTCCGCCGCCGCCGCCGACGCCGCCGGCTGCCTTCTCCGGCAGCTGGTACGACCCTAGGTACCCTTCCTCGAGGAAGGGGTCCATGGACGGCAAGGAGGGGAGGCCGCTCTCGCCGCCATGGACGACGTAGGAGGAGGCACAGGAGAGCGTGGACGGCGTGTTGCTCTTGACGCCGCCGCCGCCGCTGCCGCCGCCGACGTTGTTGATGTACACCTTGTGAAGCGGGCTCTGCGCCTTCCCCTTGCCATGGCCGGCGAGGCCGCCGTACTGCGGCTGCGCGCCATGGCCGCCGCCGCCTCCCTCCATCCCGCCGCCATGCACGTAGCTCTGGTGGTGGAGGTGGTGACCGCCGCCGCCGCCGCCGCCATGGCTAGAGGTGTAGAGGTTGGAGAAGGTCGCTCTCCTCGGCGACGTCGCCATCTCCCTCCTCGGCGACGTCACCATGTACTCCCTCTTCGGCGAGGACACCATGTAGTCCCTCTTCGGCGACGAGGTCACCATGTAATCCCTCTTCGGCGACGAGGTCGTCACCATGTAGTCTCTCTTGGGCGAGCACGCCATGAAGTCCCTCCTCGGCGATGCCGCCGCCGACGACATGGACAGGAGGAAGTCGGCGCCGGCGCCGGAGACGCCGATCTGATCAGCGAAGATGGACTCCCAGAGGGCGATGTCCGGCGACTGGATCTCCACGTCGTCGATGTCGCCGCCGCCGTCGAACCGGAGCGCCTGGAGCCCGGCCAGGGCGTCGTTGGCCTCCGGGTCGGCCGACGCCGTCGACGCCACGATGTTCGACTCCGACACCGACGCCGTCGGCGAAGTCGGCGCCTGCTGCTGCTGGAGCTTCGCGCCGCCGCCGGCCATGTCGGCGGCGTTGAGCATCGTCGTCGTCCCCATGCTCGAACACATCGAGATCAAACGATCACTTGTATACTACACTTGTAAATAAGTATATATGCAAGCACTAGCTAGTAGTACATGCAATAACCTCTCTTCTCTTTTGGAATTAAGCCACTAACTAATTAAAAGCAAATGAGCTAGCTCTTCTATATCTACTGATCAGGTTGTCAATGAGAAATCTAGCTAAAATTATCTCTGAATTCTACCTCACAATTAATGAGGAGAGAGTGAGATGAAGCTTAATTTGCAGCTAATATATGAGTTTGGTTTTCTCCTCCTTGTCCAGCTTGGTTGGAGCCAAGAGATGCTGCAAACTTGTGAAGAAGAGAGGAGATAAATGGCCTGGTTATTGGAGGCATCATGTTGGCTTGTGCACACCATGTCAAAAGACTGTTTTGGTCTGTTGCTGGTGTACATTCTTTGCCAAATCCCTCTTGTACTGTTTTTGGGGTGCTGGCTGTGGCCTATTGGCGGGGCACGCTTTCCGAGTTCCGACAAACCGGTGAACTAGGTCTCACAAGAAAACCAGAGGCCTTCCAAAGTAGAAGAGACAAGGAACTCGCTTGGGAGGAAACCCTAGGACACCATTGTCCATTGATTAAAGAAATATATAGGAGGAGATCTTTTCTCTTCTTTAGATATAGCTCAAGGACGCCGTAAGGAATTATGACAGCTGATACCATATATGGAAGGTACATGTTGAAGCAGGAGATCGGCACAGAAGATGAGGAGCTATTTGCATTGCAATTTCGTAGTAAAAAAAGCATATATACAAGGAGAATGGCCCCATGGATTGGCCAAATGCGGATAATACATCATTCGGTGTATTAGAATAATAATAATAATTTAATATGTAAAACTTTTATATGTGCTTTCTTAGCGACTAAAATGCCAATATTGAAAAATAAACTTCGATGGAAAAACTTCAAAATCAATTTTAAAATTGAGCTTGAATATTCAAATTTTAGCCGTGGCTGATGGTATATATAGGAAACTATGGGGGCCGAAAGTTTCTCGAGAGATTTGGATCCATCTCCATGCATGGGTAATGGCTTTGTGGTTTCTTTTTCTTTAGACTCGAGAGTTAAGAATATGAGCAAGGAAAGCCTCTCCTGCACCTCACCCGTAACAAACAAGAAAAAAGGTTTTTGCTACAAATATGTCAGTCATATGTTTCGTCCTGACTACAGTCGATTTTTGGGGCATATAGGATTATTATTGTTGAGATTCGTGCCATTGTTATGGCCGGTTTTATTGGTCCGCGCTTAGATACCTGTAAAGGTTGTGTGCTGCTTTCTCATACCGGAGCTAAGGATGAAAAACGAGCACACAAATTCCCGACCGACTGAATATCATTTCCATATAATTAAGTGGTATTGTTTCTGATCATTTTCATTTCTAGCAATATATAGAATTTGCTTTTTTTTTCTAATTTCTTTCAACGCTGTATTGTTGTTGATACTGAAATGATAAATATGGTCAATTCCTAACTGACTGAGAATTGTTTCTAAAGAGATGCTACCGATTTCGACCATTTTCATATGTCGCATTGTCCTAAAATAAACCAATTCCTCGCATTCGGAGAGACTTTAAAGCTGTGTTCTATTCCTATGTCCAAGTTCCCAACCTCTATTCCCATGTTTTCTGTACACACGCTTCTTGAACTACTAAACATTATGTTTTTTTTTAAAAAAAATCTACAAGAATGTTGTTGTAAAAAAAAATATATTAATCCATTTTCAAGTTCTTTTAGATAATAATTAATTAATAATATGTTAATAAGTAACCTCGTTTTCTGTGCAAGGAGGAGAGGTTCCGAACATCTCTTTCCGAACACAGCCTAAGTAGGAAGAAACACCAAAGTGGCCCTAATTTAGATGAAAGTAGCATTGATGGGTGTGGGTAGGCAAAAGGTATTGAAGGGATAAAACTCTTTGAAAGGACTCCATCATTTCGCTTATTGACGGAATAAGTGAAATGACATATTTGCAAACGAAAAATAATTTGCAAATAAAACTTTCATATACGTGTTATTAGCGATCTAAAAGCAAAAACTGAAAAATAAACTAAAATAAAAAAACCCCAAAATCAACTCCAAATTTAAGGTTGAAAATTCAAATTTTAGCTTATAAGCATAAGCATAAGCCAAAAGATGAGGCTGACAACCTAATGAGAAATAACAAAGTAAAAATTGATTTATTTTGGACAAAGTTAAAACTGTAGAAATTATTTAGTTTGGGATTTCGCTATGTAGTTCACATTGCCCAAGCACAAAAAGGCAGGATGCTAGGTACAAATGCGACAAGAAAGGATAGAGAACGAGAGAGGAGAAAAAAAATTAGAGAAGCTACTTTGTATATCTGATGTTTAATGTTTACACTGTAATTAAAGTATAATTACACTATAGTTACAATATAATGTAATATAATAGTGTTTGCTACTTTTCTAGATGAAAATTAATTTCTATTATGTAGCTACTTTAACCAAATTACTATATGAAATATAACTGTTTTAGGCTCATATCCAGAAAAATAAAAATCAATGTTCAAAGCCTATGGCCTCTTTATTCGGAAACGGAGGTTTTTTTAATGGAAATTAAACTGATTTATACGAAAATCCTATAAAAATTACATCGTTAAGGAGCCCTAAAAGGGTACATATTTGGTTGTATTTAGACGTATTACTTCATCTTATTTTTCCTATAAAAGTTTTTGCAAACTTTAAAGTGCATTGTTTACATATATGTGGTACTAATAAACTATTAGTGCAGTGTGGAAATCCTCTTCTAATATGGTGTTTTTGGAGTCTTTTGTCGATCGATGGATAAAATAACATTTGAGCAAAGAGTAGTATATACTCGTCTCTGCAAGTACGGCATTGACAATGTCGTCCGCCTAGGCTTTGGATTTCCCAAAGGCACAGAGCTGTTGGACCTGTCCCCATAGTTGTGTTCTCTTGGGAAGCATCCTAACATGCTTAATTCTCTTGTGCTTTTGTACTATGTTCCCTTTCCACAACATACCATGGAATATTACATATATACTACTACATTATATATGTACTCTGGATAGTGGAGATTGGAGCACACAGGACAAATTTTTTTTGTATGTGTCTACAAAATAGAGCAACTTTAATTGCAATATAGTTAATGTGAATATGTTTGAAGAGTTCTTTTCATTATATTATTATGGCAGGAGAGAAACAAAATGGGCAAGTCTCTTTCAAGTGGGACCCATGATGAGGGGTCCTCCAATTGCATGGTACAAGATGGATGGAGACACGTGAGCCAAAACAGTACAGCTTCATATCTTTGCTTTGGAGGGTTTCTTGATTGGCTTATTAGGCTGCCATTAGGTGTGTTTTCTTGTTTGCTCATGAGATGGTAAATTAACTTCTTGCTGACAACTTGTTCAAATTAGTTGTACCGTCCAACAGAGATAACTCCTATTGCTGTTACAAGACGATTGGTTTTTAAAACAACAATTAAAGGCTCCTGTGTACGTTATGATACTATATGGACAGCTACAAGGATATTATAAGTTAATATTTCTAGCTGTGACAGCTATCGCTATTATATTTCTATACAACTAAATTCAAATTATGAAAGCAAGCATTTTTTTTTTACAAACCTGTATAGCCTGTGAACTTGTGAAGGACTGGTGTATACGGTTCTTTCTTAAAGAAGGCCATTGTGTCAATACTTGTTAGTTTAAGTTGCTTAAGCATCAGTTACATGTCTACTTTCTCTGGTTCTTTTGAATGCTGATTTGGTGATTGATTTGATCATGAAGTTAGGTTGAACCCCTCAGTGTTCAACTACCACAGTGACACGGACATGATGGAAACAGATTTGAATTATTCTGCTCCTTTCTGCAACCCTGTGAAGCAGCTAAAAACCACATATTTGCCAATCAACACTCAGGGGTTCAACTCACCAATGGAAGAAAACCGTCTTTTAACTGCGAATAATAATGAAATGAAAAACAGTGGCCACCACTGGCAATATTGCATTGCACCTATTAATTGGAAAAATAAAATGTCCACCATTACAGTTTTCCAGTTGAGTATAATACCCAATAAAGGATTTCACATGGTAATTATGCATCAGTACATCAGTTTCACGTCTCTTGATTTTACTATCTTCACTACATTCTGGTTGCACTATTAGCAACAACAGCGATGTATAACAATAACAACAAGATTCGAAACAAGGCATGCCTTGAAACGACGTCTAGCCTATTTTCTATAGCTTTCCTACATGACAGTTCCAGGTATACATGATACAGCCCACCAAAATTGGAACCACCTTACAAAATTAGCGTCATGGCCATTTCAAAAAGCCTAACCATCCTAACCTATACTAGCTCCTTAGGTAAGTGGTAGTGCAAAACTGCGCTCTCCAAAAGAGCATGACTTGACGAGCCTCATTCGCATTCTACAGTTGCATTGAACTATTGTATGAAGGAAGAACACGGTACCTTTTCACATGATCTTTCCTTGACCTACAGTATGACATGAGGTGTCTCTCATCCACCTCTCCTGTGTTTGATAACCGGACTCCATATTCCAGCAATCTCCTCACATCTCTAGGAATGGGGCTTTGCCATTGGCCGTCCCACCAAGCAGGTGCCAGGAGTGGGGTCAAGGCACATTGGTGCTGTTGATGTTGGCAGCTCAAAGGGCCAGCATATCTGTTCCAGATATGGCCCCAGCCACCCTGTGACGAGAGGCCGTCAACCAGTAGGTTGCTGTGGACACTGCTTAAGAATGTGAAGTTTGTGCCTGAAGACTCACGACCTGATACAAGACAATTGCACAGTTATTTAGAATTCGGTCTTCATACTGAATTGTTCCAAACAAAATAGAACGGGTATGAAAGAAAGGGATATGCACCAAATCTGTTAGCTGCAGCCAATGCTGCAATGAGTTGTGCATAGGTTGTCCCTACACGTCGGTGTGCTCCAGTGACCACTGCATATCTGGCTTGGGAAGCCAGAAAGAAATCAACAAATGCTGCCCACCTTGGAGCTGAACCCCAGTCTCTTGAACGGAAATCCAAAGCCTGCAGAGGAAGGAACTTAATTTGGGCAGGAAATTGGTTCTTACAAGTGTAATAGCAACTTGCAGAGATCTCTATTGAAAAATATTTAAAATAAGATAGGCTGAATTATGTTAACAAAATTGTAGAACCACTCCCATCGTTTTTATTTTTGCAATATTTAATACTCAATTAATCACGTGATAATGATATGTATCATTTCGTGTCCTGATTAGGTCACTTAATTAGTTAGATCAAACAAAGCCTTAGTATTCCTTAAAGAAAACAAAGAGAGTAATTATTAAGTCTATTTAGATGAGTAAGACACAAAGAGCTAAATATGATTTTATGTGATAATTTTTTAATTAAAATATAGCTAATATGTGATGTACTCGTAATATTTTTTAATATAGAAATTCAGATACCTCCTTTTCTTTTATATAGTAGGTTCATATATGTACTTGGAAACATATATCTTCCCAATCGTAAGTACATTATGCTCTTATTCCTTTTTTGTTAAGCAGTATACGTACGTACACGGTAATTTATTTTCCCGGTAATAGAACGTACATGTTTTTCTCCGGTGAATAGTTGTACATACACGGGAGACTTGTCTTTTTCTTCAGTTCTTTTTATTGTGGCAGATTATCTAAGATAATGGGTCCACAAATTTAAATGAAAATCAACGATACACATAGATCTGATCTAATGGTTTAAATTAATGAGTCCACCAATTTAAGTGAAAATCAATGGTGAGATTAAACAGTGCCACATGGCGGTTTGGGAGTGTTTATAGAAGCGCCACATGGCGGCTCAGGAGCGTTTGTAGGAAGTTTAATGGACTTTTAGTATATAATAGATCTAACACCCGGGAAGATACTTCTCACATTTTCAGTAAACAGCACTGAGAAACTGTGGCAAACATAGTGATGGATCTTTCAAGAGAGTATATTGTACCTTTTCACTTCCAGTTATCTCTAGATCAAAACTCCTGGAGAACTTTTTGTGATCAAAATAAATCACCTGCTTAAAAAGTAGATCATAATCATCAATTCCCCTTCCTTTTAGAAATTCCAAGCTAATTAACTACGAAAACTATCTAATCATAACCCATTACATTTGAATAAAACTATGAAGTCCTTGAGATAACATTCGACAAAGTAACTAACCTCAGCAAACTCACTGATGTCTTGCTTTATATCCTTGGCAAAGCCTGGTGTATCTGAAATTACTGCTACCCGAGGTGTACCCTTCAAATGACAAATCTCTATAGCTCTCTTAATACAATTAACTGCAGCTTTTCTTGCTCGAACTGGCCTAGTCAAAAAATGAGTTATGTTCAGCAGTTCAACCCAGATGACGTGGAAAGGTCGCTAATAAATTTGATCTGCATAATCGTAATTTGTAGGTGGTGGAGGTTCTCATATCGATAAGGTGCAAAAAACGTCAAATCAGACATTACCATTTGCATTAGTTTATTGAAATTTCTGAAACATTTATAATCAATCCTGCTTGTAAACATATAGAAGAGAAATGTTAAAAAATTATTAATTAGACAACAGGAAAGAAACGAAAAAAATAAGAGGTTGACAGGCCAGTTTGCTGAACTATAATGAATCACACTATCTATTAATCATACAAATCTTTACTGATTCAAGTGGGATTTTGACGTTATGATGTAACATATGCTTTCAGCTAACTAGTAATTACTGTATCAAAATGGAATTTAATTGCTTTTACAAACAAATGCAATGTCAAACAGATCCTTATGTTTCAGTTGACAACTGCACCAAGAGTTTCTGTTCACATCTACAGGTGGAAGCAGCATATTTCAAGGCTAACTGATGAACCAGTTATTTTTTGACGTGAAGTTTACAACGTCAAATTTGACAATATCCTATTATGTTTTCAAATGAATGTGGAAATTTACATCTATTTCCTTCCTTTATGCCACAGATAGTGCTTCATACCTGTTTGTCATCATGCGCATGTGCAATACAATATCAGGACTGGAACCCTTTAAAGCCCATTGAACTGCCTTTTCAACTGTCTGTGAAGGAGATATTATAACTTGCATAAGTTCACCAAATGTATTAGGTCTCGCACGTAATGAGCCAGGGGATCCAAAGAGTGACGAAGCAGCTGTTTTCATTCTAGCATGAACATTCTTCAGAAAGAATTGGATCCCAACTGCATCTGTTGTACCATCAAACCTAGCATCATTAACAAGTAAAACTATGTCAGCATGCGTTGGTTTTTACATTTAGTTTTGGTAAGGAAATTAACTGTTAAGACAAAGATGTGAAGAAATTCCCAGCTAACATAACCAGAAAACAATTCAAGTGCATGACTTTTTATCCCACAGCTAATTAATAAAAAAGTTCAGGGGTTTTAGGAGGCTGTTTATGTCAGATGTACTAGTAGTAATGGTCAAGCATCATTTATTTCTTCCAATTAGTACTTGGCTGTTATTTCCTTCTCGAAACATGGATGGTTTGGAACATCAATCGTTACATTTGGTTTTAATATGGATCCTCAATCTTTCTATATTTATACAGCTCACTTGTTTTCTTATATCAAAAAGAATTGCAAAGATGACTTGTAGATGGCAATATTTTAACAGGAGATTGCAGACAGATAAGTACATCATGTTTTTATACAGTCCTTTTATTTTTATTTCAAGATAGTAAGTTTGCTTATAGCATGGTTACGCTCCAGTATCTGACTTTTTATGTAGAAAGTGGAAAAAGAAATTAAAACATAATATGGGGTAGCACAGTAGCAGTAGGCCAGTAAGAACCCACAGCGTGCATGCATAGTGCTTCCAAAGTATCTGTTTACAAAACATTTGCAAAAGGTCATGCTTGCACGTGTGAGTTACTGCATACTGAATATGAGCTATAGTTATTTAAAACTAGAACAGTATTTGTATACAAAACAGTATTACATTGTTGCCAAAAAAATGGAAATCACTAACTTTGGTAACTCCATATGTCTATAAGGCCTGCAAATGATGTGTCTAATGAAAAGAAACAAGATTCATCCGAAGTATCTAGTGCGCTGTGGTGTCCATATACAAAAGGTGAGAATAATCAACTTCAATAACTTGGTTGGAAATGAATATCTGGGTATTTAATATATTCAGAGTTCAGACTTCAGATATTCTACAGAATATCATTTTCTTCATTTTGTTCTTACAAAAGAATCTTGATGTGGATAAAAACAAACATAAGTGCATGCAATGTGCCAGACATAGAATGCAATCTCAGTCAAGGGCATATAAGCACATGGTGAAATAATACAAAAAGTGAAATAGTATCTACATTAATATGGGGGATAATCAAGACCTTTAAGTCTAGCTAAATATATTACTTATCATGATTTGCACAAAAAAAATTGACAGGGCATGTCATTTAGTCATATCTGAAAGGGACAAATGCAGACACATCATGAACATATCAATGTTATGTCAAGAAAACTAACTGTTGAAAATGTGACTTTACTAGATTGTAACTCTTAGACTATAGTACTAACCAGATGATTGGATCTTTCCAGCTATTCCAGTCACTGCAAAGTACATTAGTCTCTGTTGGGTGTTCAAAATTGTCGACTCTCATACTCAGATTTCTACCATATGTTCTAGCACAGCGATTTTTCCTCCATAAATGCTTTACTTCTCCAATAGTGAATGAATGATTGGTGTAAGAAATGTACTCTCCAAAAGGATATAACCCCCTGTTGGATAAACCGATAAAGGAACAAACAAAAGGTAAGATGGTAGTGAATATCAATCATCAATACTCTAAATTTCTAATTGTTGCCATAACAATATTTTACAGATTCAAGATGGATTGATATTGTGCCTACTTTATCACATGTATAGATGGAGTGACCAACTAGAAAATTAAATTTGATATGTATTACAGTAATATCTCATATATAATCATCACAGGAAAGTCAAAATATAGGTCCAACGTATTCAAACCCGATAGATAAGGAAGATAAATAATTGAGAGTAAATGCACATGCCTGGTTTGCCCGATGATGAGAGACCGGTTTAACATAACACTCAATGCTGCTGCTGTTAATATCTTGTACATTTCATTACCAAACCCAGCTTCAGAGGCTTTCCCCAACACAAACCCTTGTTTGCAGAACTCATATGCAGGAAGCTCTCTAACTCTTGAAGCTCCTGATGACAAATTGATACAAGTAAATATTGGGTGTCCTCAAAATCGACCTAGGAACTCAAAATTGGCTAGCCGAAGACTCTAGACAAGATCACAGTTCCAAGTCTTGTTGTTTATGATGGTAGCAGAGAAATTACAACAGGGAACAACAGAGATCATTTAGAAACAGCCATGGTCAAAAGGTGAAAAATAGCTACGCATTCAAAGCGGAGACCGCATTGTAGACGTGTGTGTCGGTATCGATTCGCCTATCACGACAATCTCCCAGTGAGTTGGCAAGTAAACCTTGTGCAGTGCTGCGGTTCTTGCTTGCCTTCTTGGTGCTATTTCTGCAGTAGCTTAACCGCAATGTTTCGAATTGAGCAGTGATGAAACCAAAAGTTCTTAGCTCTTCTTCTACCCAACAAGTTGGACACGGCAATCCACATCAAAATAACAACCATTGATGATTCATGGAACTACACACTACGAGGCCACGCAAACATTTCATCATCACCAAAGAGGAAGAAGAGATCATCGGCCACCCACTGAGTCCATGACAGGTGGGCCCGGGCCCACATGTCAGGGACACAAACAGGAGCGGCAGAAGGATCAAAGGGGATCGAATCTCCTCTTCGAGGCGCACGGATCACAGCGAGGAGCACACGCACCGTGGAGGAGGAAGTGGCGGCGGATGAGCTCGCGGACGCGGAGGCTGGCCGCCTCGGGGGAGCCCCGCCCCGCGGCCTCCTCCCCCATCCTCTCCACCGTCGCGCACGCGGCCCCGGTGGTGGAGGCGCCCCCTCCAGCCTCCACCGCCGCCGCCGCCGCCTCCCCGTCATCCGAGTCCCGCGCCTCGGAGAGCTCGCCCCGGAATGGGGAGGCTCGGGCGGTCGAAGACGAGGGGAGCTCAGGGCCGTGGAGGTGGAGGACGACGAGGAGGAGTAGCGAGGCGGCGCAGACGGCGGCCACGAGGAGGCCTCGCCGGAGGAGCGGCCGGAGCGAGCGGCCCCGCCGCCATCGCGGCATCGAGGGTGGTGACGCGAGGAATGTCTGCGACTGCCACTGTGTCGACTGTCGAGCTTTGCCGTTGCCGGTGAGAGGAGAGGGGAGGGGTGGAAATGACATGTTTACCCCCGCTCCCTCCGTTCGACTGAATTTCAAATGATTTTTTGGGATTTCAAACGAGTTCCTAAGCCTAGTTCTTTTCTCTAACTCAAAACTTCAACTTTCTTGTTTTTTTAGCGCACTTTTTAAACGGTTAAAATGGTATCTTTGTTGTAAAAAGGTTCTACGTAGAAGTTGTTAGAAAAAATCAAATGAATACATTTTTCAAGTTTATTGTGTTGACTTTGTCCGGTCGTGCTAACATGTCGCTTACGTGACAATTTTATAATAAAAAAAATAAATGTTAGTGGAGCCCAAATATCCAAGGATAATTCTATCAACCAGCCCCCCCCCCCTCTTCTCGAGCTCCTCCTTACTATGTCGGCCCCAAAGCGGTAACCTCCTTAATGTCTACGGTAGCACGCCCTCGCCGAGGTCAAGGGACTACATCACCACTCTTGGCTACCTCAACAGCGAACGCGGGATGCAAGGAGTAGACGGCGTCATCCCCGAAGTGAAGTGCTGATGCGACACGCGAGATGAGGCATGCGTGGAGGATACGGAGGGCGGGGTGTAGGAAGAGATGGAGAGCGTGCCGTTAGTGACCTAGGAGGAAGCATCTAGCGTCGAGAGGCGCAAGGCGGATCTGGCGAGCTTGCTGGCAGCTGTTTCGCAAGAGAACAAAGCAATCTACCCTGTGCATTTCCTACTCTCCTTCATGCATACCGGATCTAGAGGTCAAGAAGGGGTGCTCAAGGGTAGTGGTGAATAAGGATTTGGGGACAAAACTCGGTGTTGGAGGCGGAAAACATGGTGGATGGCAGAGAGGGTGGCTGCCGGCAAGGAAATCACCGGAGGACTCTCTCCAACCTTCTTCTTATTCCTCCCAATCTCTCCACCCTCCCTCTGCATGACCAAATCTGCCACTAGTGGACCTCGTTGCCCCAACAATTAGTTGCAGTGGAAACAAGCGGCATAACCATGGTTGGAAGAGCTCTGGTCGGCATTCGATGGGTGGGGGCGACTGCGGGGCAAGGGACAACAGCAACATCCTCATCCCGTACTCCTCCACGGCGCCACTCCCACCGGCCGTGGTGAGGAGACCAAGTGGTGGTTTGGGTTGTGGCAGTCGAGAGGGGAATCCTAGCTCGATCCTCCCACAGGGCTTCGCCTCTCAGCTCACCAAGATGCGCAACATTTCTGGCTCCGCCGTGTTAGCATTTGATAATGGTGGTGGCAGAGGCTCCCCACCTCACCACCACCAGCCGACGATGAGGTGAGTTTCTACACCCCAACGAACTCAATCCTCCGGTCCCGATGCCGCTAGGACGAGCTCGGTGATGATGCCTCGCTCTAGGCGTGAGCGTCGGTGAGAGTTGTCGGTGTCTGGTATCACCCACTGGCCTACAAGGAGGGAAGAAGATAGAGAAGAACGAGAGAGAAGAAATGACTCTCACAGACATGTGGGTCCTACTATTATTTTTAACTTTTCATCACAGGTTGCCGCTTACACATGGATCCCACTAATTCATTTTTATTTGTCTTCTATTGCCCCGTAAGCGCTACATTGGACGAATGAATACAAAGTCAAACTAGACAAGTTGGTACCACGTTAGCTAAAACCACTCACAATATCATTGGGGAACGTAATTTACACTGGTTTTAGAAGTTATGATGACATACACCTGGTTTTAAGATTGAGGGATGCGTTTAAAACTCGCCATATACTTGGGGGACTCAATATGAGCTTATTCCTTCCATAAATTTCTGCATTGGGTAATCTATCCAATTGAATAAAGAACAGAGCCTACCTCACCAACTTAACTGGGCTGAAAACCCCAAGCAAATGACCTTTTACCCGTACAGCCCATCTAAGATGCATGTTCCTTCTTGACGTCCATTATCTTACTTACACAGCACACTCATAAGGAATAAGTTCATTTTAGGTCCCTCAATTTGTCATGAGTCTTACCAAAAACGGTTTAGACGGTGATTTTGACTGTGGCACCTACGTGGTGTTGACTTGGCACTTAAAGTTAGAAAAAAATGTAGTGAGGGGTAGTTGGATGGGTGCTTTTACCTACCTTGAGGAGCTCGGCTCCGGCGTCGAGGTCACGCTGCTCTGCCAGCCGCCACTTGCTAGCTTCACCGCCGGAGACATAGGTTCTTGGCGAGCGAGAAGCTCCGAATGAGCACCTTCCACTGCTTCTCCATCTCCTGGCCGGTTCAGCTTCGGCGAGCGCGCGCACTGCGACATGGCGGCGCGCGCGGTGGCCAGCTTCTCCTGGTACGTGACGCCGACGGTGCGGACGAACTCCTGCCCACTGCATCGGCATGACGCCGCAGGCTGGCGCGACATTGAGGACTGCGGCCGATGTCGCTCTTGGGCCGCTCGACCACCGGCGGTGGTGGGCGCGGAGGGAGACGGGTGCCCCGGCGGCGGAATCGCATGGGGAGCGGAACGCCATTGGCATGAACCGGCCGTTCCACCAGCCGCCGCCTGCCCCTGGTGGCTGGTGGTGGTAGATGTTCACCGTTAGCTGGTTATTCTCGCCATCTTCCCCTCTTCAACTCTTCCGATCTCTCATAATCCAAAGGTTCAAGGTTACCAGAAACCTAGCAAATCCCCTTAAGTATGTTATATAGAAGAAGAACGTAGCATGTCTGTGTATTGTTTTGTTGGTAGTCATCTGCTCGCTTCATCCAAAAAGGTTAAATATATTACTTTTGTCATCAAAGACAAAGGAGAAATTAATTAATCTTGCATGTAATAAAGATTATTAAGGAGTATATGCATGCACGTAATGACGTAAATAATACTCCCTCCGTTTCACAATGTAAGTCATTCTAACATTTCCCACATTCATATTGATGTTAATGAATTTAGACATATATATCTGTTTATATTCATTAACATCAATATGAATGTGAGAAATGCTAGAATGACTTATATTGTGAAACGGAGGAAGTAAGTATTTAGATGGCTCTGTCGGCAAAATGCAAACACTTGTGATCGAGCTTCCTTCCCAAGATCCTAAGAAGCCCTTACTGATAACAAATGATCAGAAGGAAAAGTGAAGCTAACAGAACATTATTACAATGCTTGTGCTTTAGCACACTTAAGCTATCACATATTCAAAGTTGCTCCCTGCTGAGATGGAATGTGCTGAATAATAAAGTCCACATGATAGCTTTCGAACTGGAAATTTTATCGATACATCAAATAAGTTTGTACGCAAATTCAAGTACCCTACCCATAATGAAACCAGAAACCACAATATCTGAACATAAAATGTAACACCCTGAAAATTCGACTAATAAGATCAAAACCTTAAAAAAATTATGGGCCTTCAAAAACTTTTTAAATAAATTGCATCATGCCGATTTTATCCGCCTATTTCATTAGATTTTGATTTCGGAGTTCATAGATCGCGAATAAAGAATAATTAATTAGGAATAAACCCTAAATAAAATTGGCAAAATAAATAATTAAAATATAATTTAAAATAATGATTAGGTGAGGATAGAAATAAATAAAATATTATCGCGACCATATTTGTATCAATTAAATTTAAGTGCGATGGAATAAGAATTAACTCTAATTAAATTCAAATAAATTATATAAAATAAAATATGGGTAATGTTAATCTAGGGTGAATCTTTTGGTTAGAACAACACAAATATTGAGTAAGCTTGATTTGTGCAAAAATTAGAATTTATAGGGCAAGATTTAAATAGAAAATAGACTAAATTAGGGTTAATAAGGATCTAGCACTATTCATTGCCTACAAGGTGCTTGATGTGGTCCTAGCCTAGCTGGCCCCGAGCCCCGCGCCGCCGACGCCGTCGCGTCGCCGTCGCCGCGCGCTGTCGCCATCGCCACCTGTCGCCGCGCGCCGTCCCATCGCCGCCTGCCGCCGCGCGCCGTCGCCATCACCGCTGCCGCGCCGCGCGCCGTCCCGTCGCGCCATCGCGTCGCCGTTCTGTCGCCTCGCGCCGCGCGCTCGCCGCCGCGCCCGTCGCCATCGCGTCGCCTGTCGCCGTCGCGCCGAGCCCCGTGCCAAGCCGCGCCAAGCCCCGCGCCGCGCCGCCCGCCCGTCGCGTTGCTGCTCCAAGCCCCGCGCCGCCGCGTCGCCGCGTGTCACCGTCGCTTGCACCCTGCCGCGCGTCCGCTCGTCGCTGTCGCACTCGCTCCGCTCGTCCCATTGCTCCAAGCCCCGTGCCGCCGCGCGCATCGCGTCGCCGCTACCGCCTGCCGCGCCGCGCGCCGCTCGCCCGTCGCCGTCGCCGCCTCGAGCCCCACGCGCCGCGCCGTCACGTCGCCATTAGGGCCGGCCACCCCTCCCCGCGCCCTATAAATTTCCCCCGGCCACCCTCTTTCCACCCCACACCATCCCCACCCCATTCCCCTCTTCCTCTCCTCTTTCCTCTCCACCGTGCCGCCGCTTTCTTGTCGCCGCGCCGCCGCCCTCGGTGCCGCCGTGCCGCGCCGCGCCGAGCGTCGCCTCGCCTTGCGCCGCCGTCGTCGGTAAGCCGCCGCCCCTCCCCTCGTCCCGTCGCCGTCGCCGCCCCGGGTAGGCAGTGAGCCGAGAGAGAGAGGGAGTAGAAGAAGCCGGGAAGGAGAGAGGAAAAAGAAAAGAAAAAGAAAGAAAGAAAGAAGGGGGAGAAAGAGAGAAAAAAAAGAGAGAAAAAGAAAAGGAAAAATAAATAGAAAATTAGAGAGAGATTGAGGAGGTTTAGAAAATTTAAAATAATTAGAATTTAATTATAGATTAATTATAGTCGTAGAATTGCAACATTTAATATAATTATAGATTATTTTTGGTAATCTCTATAAGTAATCAATTCACGGTAGGAATTTAGATTTATTTAAGAGCTAAATAATTATGTTGAATTCTTAGGAATGTACTTCTAAATCACAAAATGACTTAGGTTGAATAACCTTAAAATTTGGAATAAAGTGGTTTCGCAAACTTTGTAGTCGATATAGAAAGATCGATTTGCGTCGACTTTTATTTGAGTTTATTTGGATTTTA